ACACTTAAATTAATATTCAACATTAAAAAATATAACTCTTAAATGTTATGATCATCAATTGATATTGAAAATCATATTCATAATTTAGGTTGTAATATATTTCATATTATGTTGCCATTAAGAAATTATGTGCAAGGGAATCACATGAAATATACAATTAGTAAGTAATTGTATTTAAAAATAGTTTAATATAATAAAAACTTACCATCTTGAATTCTTCTCCACAAAGATGAAGTGCATGAGCATCACTTGAATACAGGCTCTTGAATGAATCTATCTCTCTAGGAAAATTCTAAAATAAAAATTGAATTTGTTACATGAGCATAATGATTAAGTATAGTGTGAATACTTTAACTACTGAAAAAACATTCTGGAGATAAACCAGTTTTTGCTTTTACAATACCAGAGGTTCAGCATCAAACTGCATCAGTGAAACTAAGATGATAAAGCATTTAAAGAAACATGAGCCATCATGTTAACTACTCTTATTAAAAAACTTATTTGCCAATTACCTCTAAACTGTATACTATAGATGTAATTCTAGTATCAACAGGATGAATACAGTATGTATGAAAATTTGGCTCTCGCATAAACAATAATGACTCCTTGACTGTCAATTGCTATTGCCTTTCTTATATTCTTCAATATGCAGGCCATGCAGTAACTTATCTTGTTTAAAAACATTTGGCCAAATAACTGCATACTTCATAATATTGTAGTTTTTTTACACTTAACTTTAACACTTTGATGAACTGGTGTTCCTGCTTAAACCAAGATGGTCACCTGGCCTTCTTTTTTCTCACAACTCAAAGTGCTTCTCTTGGGAACTAATACACCTACTGCCCTGAAACTTGGAAGACCATATGCTTCTGATTTATACCTCACAAGTTGCTGTGATAATCTTCCTGCCCAAATTGAATTGTCAATTGCTTGGCAAAACATCACCACTTATGCAAATAGATCCTACAGTTTGGAAATGTTTGGAAAGTTAACTTGATCATTGTATTCATAATTGGTATCATTGTAGTAATACTGTAATTGTTAAAATTGAGAAATGGGATTCTGCCATGTACAACAATGGCTGTTTTACCATTGTTTAGTGCCTGTCTTAGGAATCACTATACCCATTGATTTAAAACTGTGTTCACTAAAACCTGCTTCAAATGTGTGCCACACATGTTTCAACAAAATTGTTATACCCACATTGGCAAAAAATGTTTCATACCTCTAACTTCTCTTTTTCATAAACTGAATTCCAGACTTGTTAGGAAAAATTGTAATCATTTTTAACTCCTTAATTTACTTAATTTATTAA